CACCTGGACGGCGGCAACTGTTCATCACGATGTCAAGTTCGCTCTGACGTATCTGCATTTGAAGGCCCCTCCTCCTCGCCGATGTACGGAATCGGCTGTGTGAACTTGTTTATGAGTATGATTGTTGTCGTGCTACAACGTCTCCCCTCGACAGTTCATTGAGCCTGCGCAATGGTTTGCAAACGGCTACTTTGGTCGGAGCTGGGACTCGCTGAACTCAACACTCTTCCATACCATACCAGAGGACAACACGGCCCGTGGATCACACCGATAGACGCGTGCATGGACTATAGGACTACATGCACGGTAACAACGCGACGGTCGCGTGCCAGTACACAGTGTGCCTCCCGCCGATCGCGCGGCGGCTCAACACGCTGCTGCCCGGCATGGTACGGCAGCGAACGACGTGCACAGCGCGCTCTATGCGTGCGCGTAGTGCGCGTACGACCTTCTACGCCGCCACGGTGCGGCGCCTTCACGAAGGGCGAGATCGAGACGTTCGAGCACGAGCTGGACTTGCTCATGAATGGCGCGTTCGGGTACAACCTACCCAACAATACAGGATTGGTGCCCAGCTCACTCTACGTCAGCAAGCTAGCGGATCGCTCCGGCGCGAGAATGACCTGGATAAGTTCACTTGCATATGTTCGCAATTCGCTGCTAGCTTTCTGACATCTTCTGACTCCCTTGCAGGTTCAAAGGCCCGCAGATCTGCCTCGTCCTCAACGAGCCCTCGATGCCGCTCATGACCCGCAAGAACATGAATGAAAACCACGGCTCGTGCGCGCTCAGCGACTTTGCCTCCGCGCACGCGGATGTCACGAGGATCTATGGGCCGGAACGCGCCCTGCGGCGCCGGTAGGCCATACGCCCCGTCCAGCGCCCATAGCTGCGATCTACTAAGTCTAAGTCACTAGCGTAGATCTGTGTAACCGGATACGATTATGACGGACCTGACTGCCGGATGCACATCCGAGTAATTGGGTCGGTACTATACAACCACTTGGCTGACAGCCGTCTGGCACGGCGTTCTGCACGTGGTCGGCTGGTATACTACACAAATCTTGCAAACAAAATCTGGCTACGCAATGTAAAGCTGAAGGCGAATCGACGCAACGAAGCAGTCCCGAGATAGAAATGTGTCCTGTATAATGCAAATTTACGACTCACTCGTGGCCCATGGTCACAGCTCGTCATCTCCCGCGTCATCCTCCGCGTCTCCCCAGCCCGTACCGCCAGTCCACTCGCGTTCCCACAGCGGTATGCCCTTGTCATCGAGATGATTCGGAGGGTATTGCAGCGCTGGATGCCCAGGTGAAAGGGTGGCTCGGGCTTGGTTGAGACGTGCCATAAGCTTCGTGCGCTCAGTCAGCAGCGCGTTCAGATGGTCGATTGCTAGACTCCAAGTTAGCACAGAAGAACGAACCGGGCAGGGCAAAAGGGCTGCATAGCAACCAGTCGCCGATGCTGACTGTCGGTGCATAGAAGTGGAATGTATGCGCACTCTGTTGCAAGACAAAATTCTCGCTCTTCGGGCCTGCTCTGCCATCTGGCTTCTCTGTCTCCTCGCTACTCTTTGCCTTCTTTTTCCGTTTGCGATTATCGTCTTCAGCGCGCGCTGCGCAAGATCCTTAGTTCTAGCGCGAGTGCGGCTAAAGATTTCCGACATACCTCGTTCTTCCTCCGTCCGTATTGCTTCCCGCAACGCTGGCACAGCCTCACACAGGGCCTCGTAGCCCTTACGGATGTTTGCTCGGCGCTTCTGCTCCGATTGGATGTGATTGGCCTTTTTCTGCGATGGCGACAGCAGTGCAGGCTTTGCGGCGCTCGTGCTGAGCTCGCTCTCGCGCGGCGTGCCGCCAACCGTTGTTGCCGACGATACTGAGGAAGCACGTGCGGACCGTGGGTGTGAGTTGTCGTCTAGGACGGGCGAGGCAGGGTGCTCCGAGAGCACCGACGGCCGACGACGCTTGGTGGAAGCGCCTGACGAGCCACCCTCTGGGAGACCACGCTTTGAGCTCGAACGACTCCGATTCAGCACCGCGGGAGCAGGCGCGGCAGCAAAGGGACTCGGACGGGAGCCTGATGGTTGCGCTTCAGAGGACGATGGGTAGGACGATGAGGACGATCCCGGCTTATCAAAGAACTGAGGCGATTGTGACGTAGACGGAGGTGCGAAGATGTCCTCCGGCGGTGGCCGCCTCTGCTCACTTAGCAGTGTTGACCGACTAGAATGCCGTCCCGACGGGGGGACACCAAAGCCATAAGTGTAATCTTGCTGCCCCCGGGATACCGCCTCCTCTGGGAAACCAGGCCAACTACCGCTGACGACATCGATAGGATGCTTCGTCTGTGAGTGAACCCCCGGGTCTTCATGGCGGAGGGACGCCTCGAGCGACATGAGATCCTTGGTCGCCTTGGCGAGGGCGGCCTCCTTGCCCTGGGAGGGCATCAGGGGTATCTCGTCGGGGGAGAGACCGCTCCATTCGAGTGCGTCGCCAAAGTCGATGGAGGAGAGGAAGCCGTTGAAGGCGAGAGTCTCTGACTGAGTGAGGAGAGCCATCGCGGCGCCAGAGTGGGACGGCGAGCAACGAGGCTTGTGATATCCGACGATGAGTGCAAACAAGTTCACAGCAAAGCTGCACTCGGGCGTCTACCGCAGCCCAAATTGATCCCACGCCCCGCACGGCGTTTAGCCTCCGGCATCGGTCGACCGGCTGAGCGCAGAGCGTTCCTCGCAATTTCCCCGACAATAGCCGACAATTCGCTTGGATACAAATTCTTAGTAAGAGTACTTACTACTTGCATGGTAACAATCGAGGGCGAAGCGTGACACTTTATGATGGGTAATCAACTGTATGTGACTTGTAATTTAAACCCAGTGGGGCACCGCCGCCAGTCAGGCGGCGGCGGCGGCGGCGGCGGAGGCCAACTTGTATGGGAACTAGCTGTTCCTGCGCAGCTTCGCCCTCGCATACTACATTATCAGAAATCGGGCTCA